CTATATTTTGTACACTATAAGGCGCACCTAAAAGCATTCAATTTTCTCAAAAGCCAACTGTGCGCCTTATAATCCGATGTGCCTTATACATGGATCAATATTCTGATTTCTTGGTTGTAGTATTTCAAATGTTCTGTAAAGTGCTTTGTTACAGCTGCAGCGGTTGTGGAGGCTGGAAATAAATGAAGCTGCATTGTATAGTATTGTATTCCTTTTAGCATAGCTCTATCTAGTGGATGCATAATCCAACCGCAACCACTATTGTCACTTCTATTCTATGCGCCTTATAATGCGCCGCACTCTATATATGAAAACAGTTTTAAAATTGGCCATTCATTGAGGGTGCGCCTTCCAAAGCGCCTTATTGTGCGGAAAATACGGCATATATATATATATATATATATATATATCAGCTCGCATAAGTGTAAATGCATTTGTATACTTGAGTACGTCTACATGTTGACTTTATTCCTTTTCTTTTCAGAGTGAGATATACTCAATGAATGATATTCGTACATTGATTAATATCTCAAGTAGTACAGTATTTTTTGTGTGTGCGTGTGTGTGTGTGTGTGCGTGTGGAAGGGGATACAGTTGGGCAGTCCGCAACCTTTTTTTTGGCATGGACTTGTTCATGGGCTGACTGATATTTTGTCTACCGGCAACCATCCATTACATTCCTGCCGTATTGATAACATGCAATTGGGGCACATATGCTCCGCTAAAGAATTATCTTTTTTTTTTTCTCTTCTTTTAAATATAATATATAAATATCTCCGCGACCGGGTACTGAGTGCTCCGCGGACCGGTACTGAATACGTGCTTGCAGACCAATGTAGTCAGGGGCCTGTGCCCTGACAGAGCTTTGAGCCTAGCAACGCCCCTGCCACTACCATAACCTTAAAACTAAAGGGCAATGGGAGGAGGACAGTAATTGTGTCACACCCACGACAATATTTTTGTGGGGATGAGGATGTAGTAAGAGTGTTGACTGTTTATTTAAGTGATGTCTTCATGGGCCTCTGGGGCCTGAATTTATGGCTGCTTAACACAGGCCTAATTACAAGTGTCTGCCTCTGAAAAGCAACCCATTGATGCTGAGTGACAGCATAATGAAAGCTAAAAACACTCCTTACCTTTTCACCAGGACCTCCGACCATGCCAGCTATCCCTCCGAGGCCTACAAGACCCTAGAGAGAGAAAACATGGTACTGAGAGAAAGTCGGCTATGCCAATGTGAGAGTCTGATCTTCCCTCATCTAAGAGTTATTTCCCAACCTCTTATGACAGTTGGAATGTGAGAGGTCATAGTCTGCAATGTAATGCTTTGATAAGCAATAAGGTGGGGCTCCTGGCAAGGAAAAGGCTGTGATTTGACCCATAAAGTGTGAAGTCTTCAACTCACATAAATTTTAAGAGCTGACTAAATTCATGTTGACTTCATTTAACGAATCACTTAACATAAGAACACAACCAAGTAAAAACAAATTCGTAGGAAGTAAAATGACAACTGGTTTTCTGACATTGTAATCCATTTCTGTACAAAATAAAGACAATTTGGAGAAGAATAAAAGCACACAGTACAGAAAAGGGGCAATAAAGCCGTGAGATTAATCCTATCCTTATGGTCTATATGTTTGTCTCCAAAACATTTGAAATGCACCATATCATCTCACAGCTCAAACAACCTAATGCAGATAATGTCTCTATAACGTGACATTAATATCAACAGAAATGTTGTTTGTGTCCCATTAAAATGATGTTTGGCATTTTCAAAGTATTTTGCCACAAGGACAGATTCCACTGTTCATTATTTCCAACCGCATACACCCATTAATTTACAAAGGCCAATGTTTTGACGTTTTCCTAGCCAACGCTATTTGCCAATTTACTGTCAGTGAGTTGAGAAAATAAAAGCCACCCACCCCCAAAGAAATTTGAATCAAAACCAGATACTTGGGATTTACAGATAATTATCAGGGACAGAATAAATTGGGCTTTCCATCCCTTAATCCATGTTCCACATCTTATCTGGTACTGCTGTACAGGGGCAAGGCAAATGGTGGCATGGCCTTTCTCTCCCAATGTACTCCGGCTTCTTTTTGAACACCCAAGGCATTCACCAGGCCAAATGAACTACATCATCCAAGCAGAGCAGCAGAAGAAGTCGAATAAAAGCCTCTGATTACTGCCCATGGGAGTAGAAAACATAATAGAATAAACATAGCAGTGTCCCAATGTGTTTAGCAGTGGTGTGACAACATTCAAAATGGGCCACACAGGAACTCTTATGGTTAATGGCAAATAAATACTCTTTTAAAAAGAGTGCTTGAGGGAGGGAAAAACTCAAGCTAATGTAAATATTTAAGTTATCGGTGGAGTTTAACCACTTCCAGATCACATTTGAGAGGTGGAATGTGGTCTCAACCAGTGTCAGCCTCTTGACAAGAGAATCTTATGATGCAAATTACACTATGGGTCCGATTTTCAAAGACAGGTGCATGTGCGCTTGGCGTAAAAACGTACGCATCTTCATTTTCGTGCCAGGGCTAGTCCAGTTTACTGTGTTAGGGAATTTGGCAGACAGAATGCAATGATGGATAGATATATGGTTAATAATAAGAATATTAATACAGTATTCATTTTTTTGTCGTCTCTCGAGCGCAGGTGTGTTAAACTCATTTTTGTCACATTGTAGTTATGGTTTCCTTCGGAGGGCCATTATGACAATGAAACCAAATAAAGTGTAGGATCGCCTCATATTACATGTACACAACAAAACTGGTGAAACTAGTTTTTTTCATTCAGGCATCAGTAAAAACTGTTCAAATAGTACATTTATTTTAAAGGAGGATCGGGAACAAAAAAATGCTTGAAATATCTCAAGATTTTTAAAGGTAAAGTAATTGCAATTTTGGCATTTTAAGCAAGAAACATGAAGTAAATTCACAAATTTTGCTTTCGAGTTTTTCAAAGTAAAAACAGCTGTGACCAGCTAGCCTTTGCGGATATTTCATTTTGAAGTTATTCAATTATTATTTGAAGTTTAACCTTTTTTTTTCAAACAATGAACTCATTGATGGAGAATCAAAAAAATTAAAACCAACTCAAATATGGTCTTTTACTCCCCAAGGCAACAAGATTTGTTACCAGATAAGTGCACACTCTATTTATTATTTTTGCTACTGTTCTGTCCAATTACTCTATTGCTTTACGTTTCGCGCTCGAGTGAATGTGCGCTAAAGCATGAACCAGACAGTAGCATAAAAGGTGTGTTTCGGAAAAATATACGGTACTGAGTGAGAAGCAGTCGAAGACCACAAACAGACCCCTAAGACCTTGGCAAATAGTTTAAGATCTTCTTGCCAGTCCTGAGCTCAGCGAAAACATAAAGTTTGACTTATGTTGCACTAGCTAAGGGGATTTTCTTGTTCGATGCAAGCAAGAAAAGCAGCGGCGGATTTAGAAGCAGGGTGTCTTAGAAGGGATGCAGCCCGAAGGCTTTCTTAAAATTGACCACAAATCCCTTAATTAGGACAAGAAGTGGAACCTGTATCATTTACCAGACGGAGATGCTTTTAAAGAGTTTCGTATGGCAGAATCTATAAGATGTGAGCTTCACCGAAAGCTGTTTTTTTTTTTGTTTTTTTTTTAGTTGTTGCTCCAGTTTATAACCGTTGACCTTTGCAGCCTGTTTCTCATGCCCATACATTAGATAAGTGCAAAGTGAGTTGCTGACAGGAAAATGAAAGCGGATAGGTTGACATAAACTAGATTTCAATGGACTTAAGAAGTTTACAGTTATTTTGGTGTACTGGAGGGGAGATCTTAAATGGAATGCGCTAGCTAAGGCAAATAAAAAAAATTAAAGAACAACAACCTCCAGTTAAATTTCCTTTGAAGCATTTTATGGAACACTTGGCCAAGTGTGCATGCCTCAGTCAAGAACGGTCTTTCTCAGGTCTTATGCATTCACTTAATTTGTAAAGTGACGCATCATCAGAGCCCCCATGTGTTGAGAGCTTCAAAGTCTTCTCTCTTCTGTAACCACGTAATCCTTATCATATGTGTACCGCAGTGACTAATTTCAACTTGGTGGGCTTGGTTGCCTACAATGTACAAAACACAAATATTAACATAAAGGGAATGCACTCTCAAAGTGAAGTAAAGTTTTCTGTATTAAACTAATACTTTCTGGAATAGTAAATACATCAAGTGGCAGTACTTGTGATGGCTGATTTTATTTGTAACAATGTTGCAGAATATTTTGGGATTCAGTGGAGATTATATGTGGACATCCACACCGCATACAGTGTGTACAGCCACTGTGCACATGATGGCAAAGTTGAACAAACCAAGCCAAGTGAGGAAGAGAATTCCTCAGCATGGTATTGAAATGTGCTGTTCTGCCAAAATCAATTAAAAAAAAACAAACATGTATTCATATTTTTTTCTTTGAAATGAATGCGGTCCGGTGTTGGGCACACACAACAAGTCAACAAAGACAGTGGCATTTTCACGTTTAAAATGAAGGGCATACTTTCGACATTAGCTCCACATGGCAGAGTTAACGAAAATCGACAACAAGAAGAGAGTTAATGAGTGTCAGTCCTGCGTATTCCGAGTGAGGAAGCAACTCACTTGTGGTCCGATTTTTCCAACATTTCCAATGTCCCCTTTCTCTCCCTGGAAGAAGGAAAGATTCAAAAGCATCATGATTAGCTTCCTGCAATTAGAACATTTCTTTTGCGTGCAACCATCCTGCCTGCTACTAGCTCGGGGCTCAAATGATATTTCAAGTCTGAGCAAAGGAACACACACATCCACATAAACTGAACTGTATGTTTATGTGTGTTGTTTGTAACTGTGGTATGACAGATGGGAAAGCCAGGAAATATAAATATATTTTTTTTAATTTAGAGCGTAGAACACAAAACTAATGACAGATAAAAACAAGTCTGGATTTTGTTTCCTAAAAATAGAGTACTTTAAGAATAAAACCCATGCATGTTACAGTGAATGGAAGGGTCCTCCTTTCTTTAATCATAAATGCAAAGCAAAGCTGAATGAGACTTTTTGACAATGAAAGTGGAACCAACAAAAAAAGTCTTACATTACAACTTTTCTCTCAAACAATGCTTGAATGTTTGTAGACAAAATGGGATCATGCAGTATTCACAGTACGTGCTTAAATATTTGGGAATCACAATACAGCAATACACCCACCAGCATGCTCTGACTCTACTATACAGTTCAATACATTGGCAAATAAGTGTATGTGAAATGTATGTGAGTGTTATGTGTGAGTAAAGCTCTTTGAGATAAGTCACCGTATGATGTAGATAAACTGATATATAGTGCACTCCATTAAAATTTTAATCAAATTGGAATTTTCATCTGTTGGACTGTTCCTATTTTTATTTTTTTATTTTTTTAAATTGGACTGATGGACCAATGTGTGGGGTTCGAGTCTGGCTCCGGCCTCCCTGTGTGGAGTTTGCATGTTCTCCCCGTGCCTGTGTGGGTTTTCTCTGGGTACTCTGGTTTCCTCCCACATTCCAAAAACATGCATGGCAGGTTAATGGAACACTCTAAATCAGGGGTGCCCAAATTTTTTGGAATGAAGATCGATTTTTCGATCAACCAAGCTCCCGCGATCGACCCATTACCGCGCACGTACATACACAAGGACACCATGATGGACAACATCCTGACACGAAGGCATGCGATGCACTTTTGCAGGCTGTTAATTATCGTAGCTCACACGTACCGTTTTAAAGTGCTTTCCTCGGCCCTATTCTTTGACCGTGCCTTCGGGGAACTGTACACGAAACAAACTGAATGAGAATAATGATAACGATAAAATATATAGCACAACAGCTCTGATCACAAGCTGCAATTGCAGACTGCTGAGCGCTAACAACTTCCGGTGACGCAGGTCATGCACCACCGTAGTTTAAAGATGTACCTACTTTATTTTGTTTTATTTTTTTAAATACTTTTTGTGAAAATGAGACTGATAGGATGATTAGGGTGCAGTGTACATTAACACAAAAAGATATATTACTAACATGCACAAAGAGGCACAAATTGTTTTTGTTTTTTTTTTTTCTCCTCTACACCCCTCGCGATCAACTGGGTACCAGTCCGCGATCTACTGGTCGATCGCGATTGACGCAATGGGCACCCCTGCTCTAAATTGTCCCTAGGTGTGAATGCGAGCGTGCATGATTGTTCATCTGTGTGTGTTCACCCAGTTCAGGGTGTCTCCGCCTACTGCTCGAAGACAACTGGGACAGGCTCCAGCATGCCCGCGACCCTTGTGACGATAAACGGATCGGAAAAAAATGGATGGATGGTTCTGAGGTGCCAGTGAGATTTACAACTGGTAGCATTTGACACAGGTTGAATAAAGAGAACCATCTAGATTAGACATAAAGAAGGCAAGGCAGGGTGTATTTCATACACAAGGTAACTCAATGTGCTTCACATATGAATCATTAATAAATACATTTAAAAACAATTACAAACAAAAGAACGTACTGTAGTGACTCCTATTTACATAATTCACCACCAACTGCAAACGTGTGAATGCAATGTTTTCATATGCTTGTTAGAGAGTTCACGATTATTTGGTAACGGGGTAGAAATAATCGCAGTCCCTTTAAGGACCGCCATGTTAGTCTGTTTGTTGCTATGGAAACTTACTTTCGGCGGGTCTCGTTTGGCGCCGTGAGTTTTTTAGGTGAAAATAAAAAAAAAAAACAACACTCTCTCTCGGAGTGCGGACGTGAGAAATTGTCGCTTTCTTCGAGTTTCTACAATTTCCACAGTACTGTATTTTCTGCACTATAAGGCGCTTCGGCGTATAAGGTGCACCTTCAATGAATGCCCTATTTTAAAACAGTTTTCATATATAGGGCGCACCGCATTATAACAATCAAATAGTGGCTCAGGTTGCATTATGCATCCACTAGTTGGAGCTACGTTAAAGGGAATACAATACAATACAATAAATCTTTATTGATAGAGAGCCTTCACAACCGCTGCAGCTGTAACAAAACGCTTTACAAAACATTTCAAATACTATGTCCAAGAAATCAACATAAATACATCTATCAGGCGCATCGGATTATAAGGCGCACTGTTGGCTTTTGAGAAAATGTAATAATTTAAGATGTGCCTAATAGTGTGGAAAATACAGTAATACATTTAAAAGCAAAGTAAAGTAAAAAAAAAAACAAAAAAAAAACACTCTGTTTTCTTTCATGTATAACGACCACAATTTTAGACCTACTAAATATGTAGCGTGGCTTGAAATAACGTTACTCTTGTTCTTTCGGAGTAAATAATCCTAGCTACACATTCATGCATAAAAGTTGTGATCACATAATTTTGTGACTCAAGTAAGTTAATGTATTGCATGTTCTATTGTTTGTGTTGCTGGATTTATAGCAGTTTGGGGAAAAAAAAGACACTTAACATTGCTGTGGGATTTCAAAACGATAAGTGCTATTATAATAATCATCATCATCATCATTATTTTTCTTTTTTTACTAGTACTACTTCTACTATTACTACTACTACAACTACATTACTTTACAGTTTGTTTCCAGACAGAATCATTGAATTAAATTAAATCAGCATTATTTTAATAGGGGAAAAGTAATATTGGTCAAATTTGCTGGCCTTTTTCACAGAACAATCAAAATGGATGTATCACATTTTGGAAATGAGCTCTTCATATTTTTTGGTGGATCACATCTACCGATTTCGAAGAGTCATTTTTGATCGAGTCACAAATACAAAGTATCAAAATATTGCATAAACACGAGATTAGGAAAATAGACTCACCAGCAGACCATCTGGACCAGGTTCACCCATTTGGCCTTTCCTTCCAGGTCGCCCCTAATATGACACGCAGAGCGCAGCACACATTCAGGAACCATAATCATGCCTCAGATCATGAATTCTTTATCACAGATCATTCCATCTGCTTGCTGTATATACACTTGCATTATTCAAACTATCTGCAAGAATCTCATTGTGAGTGTATACAGGATATTTTTGTTTTTGAAATCATCTGATAGTTCTTACATTTGGACCAGCGTTGCCAGATGGGCCAAGCGGTCCTTCTTCACCCTGCAAGAACACAGCACACAGTACATAAAGTGATATCCACCAAAACATGTTCACACACACACCTGCACGCACACACACCTGCACGCACACACACACACACACACACACACACACACACACACACACACACACACACACACACACACACACACACACACACACACACACACACAAAAGTAATCTCCACACACACACACACACACAAAAGTAATCTCAAGAATAAAGAACTTGACTCACGCTGGTATGTTCAGCGATTATAGAACGAGAACATAACCCTGTTGTCACATGTCTTGAAATAAATGATGATTTCAGCATTACGCATTACTCATCTCTCAATCTGGACTACAAAAGTTGCTTTGCTCTCACAAAGAGAGAAATCTGGTATGCATACTGCAGCATAACTCAGTGCCTTAAAATAGTCTGCTCATTTGATGAAGTAGCTCAACATAGTTGTATTTCAGTGTATACAAGCAACACTTAAGTACAAAACCGGAAAAGATGTGCTTCGGTCTCTTTTTTTCACTGATGCTATTCGGTGTTGACACTGACAATGTCTCGTCTCTTCTGGAAGCTGCAATATTCAGCACTTGTACAGTGGCCAACAGTTTTTTTTTTTGTGTTGTTCCCCGCCACCCGGGACTGGAAAACATTCAGGTCTGTTTTTATAAGTACCCAATGTGATTCATGACCTCACCCAGCGGAACATGTTCCAAGAGACATCTTAGACAAAAGAGATGTTAACACGAGACATGTTGTCTTACCTGATATTTATCTTTCTGCACACTAGACTTGAATGGAATTTTTATTTTTGGATGAACTGAGTTTTCCACTTATTGTTACAGTGTCAATATTATTTTTAGATCAAGGTATTGAATCCTCTTACCTGCGTTCCTTGTGGTCCTATCGGGCCTTGAACACCCCGAGCACCTTGTAAACCCTGCAATTACACATTAAATGAATGGTACGGTTTGTGTGAGTTCAAAACAGACACACAGATGTTGCCATACCTTTGGTCCAGGTGGCCCATTGGGCCCAGGCACTCCGATGTCTCCTGGAAAACCCTGAAAAAGAGCTGAGTGTGAGTCCAGCACTCTAATTTTTGTATAAATGTGTAGGTCATAAATTTACAAATGCCAAAAAGGGTTTATTGAAGAAATATTGTTGAGATGAAATCAGTATTTTATAGTTCAAGATCTTTTTGAGGGTGGCCCGGTGGAAGACGTACTGGTTAGCACGTCGACCTCACAGTGCAGAGGTTCAATTCCGGCTCCGGCGTCCCTGTGTGGACTTTGCATGTTCTCCCCGTGCCTGCGTGGCTTTTCCCCAGATACTATTTAGTCTTAGAAATTCCTCACTGAGAAATCCCAAATCATGTGCCTGAAGAAGAGCATCTGTCTGCTGACCCTACTAATTAGCCTTCAGTTCTGACTGAATTCGGACACAGCTGATTTGCAGAGGACCGAGTACGGACCTGCAGACTGGAAGAAGTTGTAATTTATTTTTAGATCTTGTTTTTTTCTTCCTTGTGGTTACGTTTTTGTATTTAAGATTATATTGAATAAAATATTGTTGTGTTGGTGGCAAGGTTTGGGGGTAAGTCCATTTTGTGTGAGGCCGATGAGGGGTGAGGGTATGGGGGTTGGTGAGAAGGGACATCGGCCCGGGTAGCAAATCGAGTCAAGACCGCCTCTGAACATAACATGTACTTTGCAACATCCACTTGATATCTAATCTTGGATGGAATTATCAATTTGATCTTGGTCTTGATTCGATTGAAATCTAAATTTCCTTCACGATGCGCGGTCGATGTAATTTTCGATGTAACTTTGAATATCTTTGCCTCTGGAAAGTGGAACTATATCTGTTGTTCGAATGATTTTTCAACAAAATACACAAAATAACAGAAATTAGACATTCTTCAGGCAATGAGCATTTGTTACAAATCTAAATGAAACCTTTTCTGTAAATCTTTCCACAACGATCATGTCCTTCTATTCTCATAAACACCGGAAGCAAATTTGAAAGTACCTCTGGTCCTGGAGGTCCTGGTGAGCCTTGTAACCCGACTTCTCCAATTCTACCCTGTTGAAAAGACAGAGCTCAAAGAAAACAGAAACTGCAATTTCTTCAGAAACTTCATGTAGTGTATATGATTGTCTCCTAGTATTCACATCTTAAACAGCAACAGCCCATATTTTATGATTGTTTAGTTATGTTTTCAGATTGGTGACACGGTGGGTGACTGGTTAGCACGTCCACATCACAGTACAGAGGTGCGGGTTTGATTCTGACCCCAGCCTTCCTGTGTGGAGTTTGCATGTTCTCCTCGTGCCTGCGTGGGGTTTTTCCGGGTACTCCGGTTTCCTCCCACATTCCAAAAACATGCATGGTGGGTTAATGAAGCACTCCAAATTGTCCCTACGTGTGAGTGTGAGTGCAGATGGTTGTTCAACTTTGTGTGCCCTATTGGCTGGCAACAAGTTCAGGGTGTACCCCGCCTACTGCCAGAAGACAGCTGGGACAGGCTCTGGCAAGCCTGCCACCCTTGTGAGGATAAGAGGATTAGCAAATGGATGGATGGAGGTTTTCAGATTATCTCAAGTTATATATTATCCCAGCTGCAACGAAAGGTTGTTGAGGTTATCCTACTGCAATGTTGCAATGTGATTGAAGATGATGATGAACATGATTCAAAAGTCGTGACATCATGGTGAAGGACTCTCAACTCTACTCTCTTGTTGTCTCAACTACCAGCCATTACTTGTTTATGATGTTTCTCCCACTGGGACAACTTGATCCACGACATCAGCCACAAGTGTAAACAACAGCAGAGTATTTACCGGTAAATATTTGTCTTTTGCCTTGTTACTCTGAAACACTGTAGTGACTATTTTCCCTGTGTTATTAAACGAATCCACGTTTGCTGTGCTGGTGACTTAAGGATTTTGCGTTTAAGATGCTTTGATGTTGTTTTGTGATTGATCCAGAAATATTACAAAAGTGGTTCTCGCAGGGGCAAACCATCACCATGACTGCGCACAGACAAATATGGCATTTGTGTTACCAAGTAATCCAACAGTAATGTGATGAAGGTCATCTATGGGTGAACCAGATGCTATGTACTTACATTAGTTTCAAGAAACTAATTATATTTCAGCATTTACTGCGGCTGAAATATTCTTTTACACAAATGAACACAAACTGCTTCTTCCAAAATGCATTCCTCTTCTTTCTTGCCTTGTTTCTGTCACTACTGAACAAATGAAAGTCTGTATTGTGGAGTTGTGAAAATTACCAAGAAATGTTAGTTTACAAGCTAAGAAAAGTTCTGCAGATGTGTTTACATAGCTTTGTCTATAAAAGCAAACCGGAGGAAAACACACAGCCACTGACTTAAAACATACCGGTGGTCCAGGCTTTCCTCTTGGACCAGAAGGACCAGCTGCACCAGAAACACCCTTGAAAGACACAAACACAAACACACACACACACACACACACACACACACACACACACACACACACACACACAGTCATATCACAAGGACACCGGGGACCACACTCTGACTAGGATAGCATCAAAATGGATGATGGCTTCATTAAAATATAGATATATAAATAAATCTAAGCTCCAAAAGCTAAATGATGTATATCGCACATACCTTGTCACCTCGGAAACCCATCTCTCCTGGTTCACCCTGTTGTCCCACTTCGCCCTAAATTTCACAGCATCATACAGAGATATAACAACACAAAACTAACAAAGAGACCATTGAATAGCAAGCTGATATTAAGTCAGTGCACATATGATCTCTGCGACAGATTCATGCTTCTACATGCTTGGACGTTAATGCAAAAAAAAAAAAAAAACAGTGCAACCCATTTCCACAACATTTGTGTAGGAGCTCTAAATGAAGCCAGCACCTGAAGTGCACGTCATTTTTGGTGAGTTTTCTGTCTCCTAAAACCATGAAGGGTATCTTATATTTTCAATCTTTTTTGCTTCGTTAGGTTTAAAAAAAATTGGGGGAGTGGAGAACCGTGTGAGCGCCTGATAAATAGTAGTGTCTGTGCTAATGGACAACCTGTCGTGTGAGCAACCACGGCTGTGTGCAGCACATTCATCCATCCATCCATCTATTTTCCAATCCGCTTATCCTCATGAGGGTCGCGGGGGGTGCTGAAGCCTATCCCAGCTGTCTTCAGGCAGTAGGCGGGGGACACCTTAAACTGGTTGCCAGCCAAGCACAGGGCACACTTAGACGTACAGTACAACCACTCGCGCTCACACTCACATCTAGGGACAATTTTGAGGATTCTATTAACCTGCCATGCATGTTTTTGGAATGTGGGAGGAAACCGGATTACCCAGGGAAAACCCACACAGGCATGGGGAGAACATGCAAACTACACACAGGAAGGCTGGAGTCAGAATCGAACCCTGCACCTCTGTACTGTGAGGCGGATGTGCTAACCAGTCTCCCACTGTGCTGCCCTACTACTATTATTATTATTATTATTATTATTATTATCAATCGAGAGAGCGATGACAGTCTTCTAGGTTCCATCGTCCACCATAGTCCGAGGGCTTGCAGGTGATAGCATTAGCGAGGCTATAATACTGTGGAAAGGCTGCAACAAAAAATCAAAAACACACTGTTATTTCTTCATAAATAAGTGTTTCCACAGTGTATTGTACTGAATATATTGAGTTTAACCAAGGCTGCACTGTACATAGACCTACTTTATAGAAACATTTTTATAATTGTGCTTTTATTTTTTTATAACAAAATCTGATTCATTGGAAGGCAAGACTATAGAAGGTGACAACCTGCTTCACCCACAGGACAGGAGCAGAACCGCACTGATTGCAATATACTGATCGGATTCAAAACCTGGATGGGTTTTGAGCCTTTATAAAAGATCGAAATAAAAAAAGGTGGGGGGGGGAACTGTCTTCCACTAAGTGGGATATTTTCTGTTTCATATCTCTTATGTAGAATATTTAAATAGCCACAAAGAGCAGGAATTTACTACTACTTCTACTATCTACGACAACTATTTAACATTTCTGTCTTGACGACAAAACACACAAATACACTGCAAATATATAAATATTTAGATCACCTTATCACCTTTCAATCCAGGCAGGCCAGCTCGTCCGGCTGGTCCCTGCCACAGAAGAGAGGAGAGAGGACAACAAAACAAAGGATGACTGATGGAGTAGCAGATGAGAATGAGGATTAATGAAGTAATCAAGTAAAAAAAAAAAACCACAAAATAACGTTTTTTTATATTATCAAGGATGTACAGGTATTATGATGAATAATAAAAGTTCAGTGCAATTTTGCAACAAATTCGAGACAGTGGGTAAATCCAAATGAATATAAAGATGATAGCTGACATTTTTTGTAGTAGTATACATAGCACTCAGGGACAATATGTGAAGTTACAATAAGTTAGTGCTGATCATTAGTTCTTAAATTGAAATGATTTCCTATGAAAAATTAGACACAAAAATTGTATCTAACATCCATCTGTGACTTTCACATCAAAGTGATTAGGATTCAGGTGTGAATTCATATTTATAAAAATGTGACCAATAATCCTGTTTTAGATCTGACAAATGTTGCTATAAAACCCATAAATTATATACTGTATATAATTTTGCTGTGCATTCATGGAGTTTTACAGCAACATTTTGACCATGAAACATTTCAAATGTATATGTCTATTATCATTGTGTAACTACCTTCCTTCCGACCATACCAGGCAGTCCTCGAGGACCCTCAGGGCCCAGGTCCCCCTACAGAAAGGTACAAAATGGAATCTATCAAACACAGTTAAATCCAAATGCACTTCTAACACTGGAAATTTGTACGAACACCTGACAACTCATTAACATTTCCAAGTGCCCCTGTCGCCTTTAGCCTCCATATTTTTCTCTAGTTCGTCTTTCAGTCCAAGGTATTTTTCCAGCTTTTTGTGTTGCTGTTTCTAGATGTTGCGTCATAATGTGTGTCATTGATTCGCTCCTCTTTCATCTATAACTGTTTAAAACAACAAAGTGTATGTAGGAAAAGCAGTTAAGATTGCATGACTGTCTGTGTCTTACGTGTTGTGTTGTATTATTTTGTCATTTTATGTTGTAACTGTTCGTTTGATGGTGGCGCGGGCACCGGAAGCGGCTCCTCTTGTTGTCTTGTTGTTTGGTTGAGAGGGAAGAAATTTAATCTAAAAAAGTCCCTCATTCATTACCGATTCTTACAAACTCAGGCTCATGGTACACATCTCTATCCAATAATATCTTTGATTTCTTTACTTATTTATTTTTTTAAGTAACATACCTACATTGTGGAACTTATTTTGATCTCAAGAGTTTTGTACAGGTGCGATACTGGCTTGGCTGCCATGCGCAAGTCTGATGCTGCTTGCCGTGGTCCAAGGCATTTTCAGAGAGTTTGTGTGAACACACATGGAAAATTAGAGGGAAAATTGCTCACTTCAGTGTCACCATTGTAGAGATGATGGGATTGATGAAAATGAGTTGAGTTGAGTCGACAGTTTACGTTCCACTTTTTTTGCTATGTAAGCCAGAACCGAGAGTTATTGCTCCTAACTCATAACCGGAAGTCTCTCTTCTCAACCGGGCATTGGAAGTTATGCCCTCCTCTCTAGGAAAAGTCCCTGAATGTCTTTTAGCTTTTATGGTTCTCCACAAACTTGCTCTCTTCTTTATGTGTCGGTTCTTTACAACCAATCGAGGTTTTGCATGGTTTTTAATGGTGTGAGATATGCTACTGCTTGAATGTAGCAGCAACTCTAACTATGACAAAATAATGTTTTACGTTTTTCACTCATGGGGTAAGAACACGGAATGACATGTAATACAACCGACTGACAAGCATCAGTACATATCTGCCAAGAGAATAATCAAACACGGATTCTAACCGGGGTCATGCAATGTAATAAACCATTCAAATAAGCACAACATTGCGAAACACATACTTACCCTTAGGCCCAGAAAGCCAGGAATACCAGTCCCACCAACAGGGCCCTGTGAAACATCACAGCAACATGCTAAATAAACAGGACGGTATACTATACAAAATCTGCATTTGGGATACGAAATCTATTCAGACATTTAAATTATTAAATTGTATTAAACATAGCATAATGTTATATATTGTACATCAGTGTTTTAATAATTCAGATTAAGTATTGTACTTTGTCATTTTAATGTAATGTAAACTATGCACACCACAATAATTTGGTATCCACGTCCAAGGTTTGAGAGCCTAAAGGTTGGATTAATTCAGGGCACCATGTGGCCGACTGGTAGCCACATTCGCCTCACAGTGCTGAGGTGCAGGGTTCAATTCTTGCTCAGGCTTCCCTGTGTGTGTTTTCTGTGTCTACTCTGGTTTCCTGCCACATTCTGAAAACATGCGTGGTAGGTTAATTGAGCACTCTAAATCGTCCGTAGGTGTAATTGTGAGTGTGAATGGTTGTTCGTCTATGCGTGCCCTGCAATTTTCTGGCAACCAGTTCAGGGTTGACCCCGCAAACTGTTATACAGCTAGAATTGGCTCCAGAATAACCGCGACTCTGATAAGGATAAGCGGTTTGGATAATGGTTGGATGAATGGAGTCATCCAGAAGCATAAAAGCTGTCAATGCGAAGGGCCTAGCAAGTTTTTCTTTCATTTACAGTTATTGTTAGTTTAATGGCCATGTACCAAATCACAATTGTTTTGGAAAGTAATGAGTGCGGACAGCCGAACTAAACTAAGACAAATTGAATTCAGAGTTTATTGAGAAGAGCAAAATCCAGTGAGATGAACTCGACTGAAATCATGCCAACAGGGACAGGGAATCTTACCTCATTGCCATCAGGGCCAGTCGGCCCCCGTTCACCAACATCACCCACCACACCCTGTGAGGAAACACATCCAGATTAAATTGTATCATGCATGCTCCATAAATAACCCAATTCTAAAAGCTGCCTCAATGCAAACCTTTAAACATTTAGCATGTTTTTCCTCATCGCTTTGACAATCAAATGGTATTTCGAAAAATATGAGCCTAGTATGTATGCAATTGCATAAAATAAGTATGGCATATTTCCAGATAAATTACGCAGTTAAATAATACATTTTCCATGCATCCATACATTTTCTGTATTGTTTTTCCTGACTGGCGTCACAGTTGAGATGTAGCCTATCCCAACTGATTTTGGGCGAAGCGGCGGGGCTACAGAAAGCGTATATAGACAAAGAGCCATTCACACTCACAATCACACCTTTGGACGATTTAGACTTTAATTGACTTAAGAAGCATGCTTTGGAAATGTAGGAGGAGGACAGAATACCATTAAAATAATGGGGAAACTGTCCAAACCCCACAAGGTCGGAGCTGAGATTGGACCCCAAACCTCAAAACAGTGAGGTATGTCAATAGTCGTTCAGAAAAAAAAAAAAAAAAAATCAACACTCAGCAGCCTGCCCACTTGGCAAATTCAACACGGATGGTAAAACTGAGGCTTCAAGTCAGTGCCATATTTATTCTGTCTTTTGCATTGTTTAAAGCAAGGATCACCAATGTGTTGCCTGCAGGCACCATGTCGCCCCCAGTTTAGACCGATGACTTCACAGACTTTGTACATCAATACTTTAATTCAATTTGGACTGATAGTTTAATGTGTAGCTCATACGGTTATTAATGTTAGTTCACTCGACCCCGCTCAGGCTTTGATGAAAACTGTAAGACTACCTTTTGGATGCAGTCGTCTTTATTAGAAGCCTGACACAAAGTCTGACAAATCAATGCTCAGGAGTAGTGCTTCCTGATCGCTGAAATCTGAACTGTTTTCAATTTTTCTTCGGTAGCATGTCGTAGTGTTGACAGGCAGATTTAGGGCTCTATTTCCATCGACAGCATTCAACGTAAAAAACCCGGCACATCTTCATTTTGTATGCCAGGCAAGTCTAGTTTACTGTGTTTGGGAATTAAGGACGTTGCGGCGGACCAACGGCGTTTTCTTTTCTACGCCCCCGGTGCACTTGACAATTTGGTGACAGAAAGTAGGCTACAGTTGGGACTGGGTGAAACCAGATCAGAAAGGCCTTATTGTGAGCATGTAACAACGAGATGTGGAGTCCATCTTCATTCACAAAGAAACAGTAAACAGCAAAAGAAACAGTCCGAAGCAAAAACAGAGAATCAAGAGGCACTCTAAAAAGTGCCAGCCAGTGGCAGGCAGAATAGCGCAATAGTCCCTGATAAAAACAGAATAAAATCCTAAATTTAATATTGTAGTGTTGTTATTATTTGTTTGTTTATTTTAAGTGAGTGTTTAAATTATGATGGCTGTGGAGAAAAAAAAATGTCTCTGAATCTGGATGCGTGGGTTATGAGAGACCTTGGATGTAGCTGATTACACTTGTGACCGGCACGTGCAGAGTCTTTAATTTTTATCTTTGCTCTACTGATGTAGCCGGATGAGGCGATGTTTTGCAGTGAGGGCAGAGAGCAGCCATGATCTTTTCTATAGAACAGATTACTTTCTGCAGTGACCTCTCTGCCTCAGTGCAGTCTGCATACCACGCTGCAATACAGTCTGTTGAAATGCTCTCTGTAGTGGAGCGGTAAAAGGTCACTGGCAGCTTCTCATCCAGGCTGTTTCTCTTCAATAGTATCAGGAAGTACAGATGATGGCCAAGGTGTGAGACCATCAGAAATAATGAAGGATATATATATAAATAAGTTATTGTGTTACTAACTCCTACTAAAGAAAAAGCATTTTCAACAAGCAAATTAACAAAACTCACAAACTCGAGTGCACGTGTGTTTCCAGCTTCACGCTCCACTCGTGTGTGCTTGTAGTAAAGTCAGTACCTGTTTGTGGCGAGAGCGGACTTCGATACATATATGGCCGTTTGCCCCGATCATTAGACAAGCTGCGGACGCCATTTAGCAGCAAATGAACGTAGATCGACGTGTTTGTTCTTCAGTGCTTGACTGGTTAGCACAGTTCTTCCCGTGCCTGACTGGGTTTCTCGGGAAACTTCGGTTTCTTCCCACATTCCAAAAACATGCGTGGCAGGTTAATGGAGCCCTCTAAATTTTCCCTAGGTGTGAGTGTGAACGCTGATGGTTGTTTGTCTATGTGGGCCCTATTGGCTGGCAACCAGGTCAGGGTGCACCCCGCCTACTGCCCGAAGACAGCTGGGATAGGATTCAGCACGCCCGTGACTTTTGTGAGGATTTGAGCGGATTAGAATTTGGATGGATGGATGTTTGTTCTTACTGAAAGTTTAAGAGTTGGATAATGCTCAGGTTACTATGCTTTAATATACAAATACAGAGAACACGCCTTGTGCTAAGACCATTTATATACATTTGTATTTGTATGCATGGGTCAAGTTGCCATCTTTTGAGTTCAAATAAATGCCAAATGTTCTAAAATAAATAGTTTTTTATTATTCATTCAGCTATTTTAAACACATTTTACACTATGGATAGAACATAATAGAAAAATTCAGAATTACTGTGCTGACTGAATAACAAAAAACTTTTCAATGGTAATAATGGAGTTAGTAACGCAATAACCTTTTGGAATAAGTAATAGGTAATCACACCATTTGATTTTAATTTTTAATGCCCAGCACTGGTCATAGTTGGAAAGGAGAAATAGCGGAGGGCTGAGAATACAACCGTGTGGCACGTCATGCTGAGTGTGATGGTGGAGGACAGGTGGGGTCCCAGTCTGACAACTTGGGAGTGGTTCGTGAAGAAGTCTCTGATCGAGCTTCAGATGGAGGTGGAGAGGTCCGGGTGAGGCAGTTTATTTGTGAGGATGTCTGGGGTGATGGTATTAAACGCTGAGCTATAATCCACAAATAGCATCCTCAAATAGGTGTTGCGGTGCTCCTGATGGCTCAGTGCTGCAGTGTGTGTTGTTATAGCATATGTTACAGCATCCTCAGTGGACCTGTTTGACCAATACGCAAACTGATGATTGTCAAAAGAGGTTGGATGGCTACATTTTATGTCCTAGGAAACCAATTTCTCAGGACATTTCATGATAACAGGTGTCAGTACTACTGGTCTGGAGCTGTTAAGGTCCTGTGGAACTGTTTTTTTTCTGGCTCAAAGAAAATGGTGGTGGATTAAAAGCAGGATGGTATAGTAGCTTTTCCCAGGAAAATGTTCAAAATTCTGGTGAAAACCCCCATGAGTTGGTCAGCACAGGAATTAAGAACTCTCTCTGACACTCCGTCCAGTCCAGCTGCCTTCCGTGGATTGGCTGTCTTCAGCACACCTCTCGCTTCCTGTCCCTGTGAGGGCGTGGCTGGTAGCTGGTGGAGGTGGCAGGTCTACTGCAAGCCTATCGACCTCAAACCTGGCAAAGAAATTGTTCAATTCCTCAGCCAGTGAGGTGTCAGCTTGGCTGATGCTGTTCACAGTGTTGACTTCATAGTTTGTCAATTGTTGTGTTCATTACCATACTCTGTGTGGGTCATTGTCCATCAAGTGATCCATATTGGGCCCTTTTTTCGCGCCAACTGTTTTCATAGGTTTCTTTGTTCTGGTATTTTGCTTGACTTTAAAACCCGCCTCAAAACTCACTTGTATTCTTTGGTATTTGACTCAGCATGACTCAGATTTGATCTTAGTTTTACTGTTTGGTGCTATTGACCATGTTTGTAACTGATTTATTGCTTTACTGTTGTATATGTTAGTTGTTCCATGTACAGCACTTTGTATGCAGCGATAGCTGTTTGAAAGTGCTCTATAAATACAGTTGAGTTGAGTTGAGTAGAAGTGGGCATGACAGAGTATTTGAACCTTTGTGCGCTGTTGTCGAAAGGAAGTAGGCTTTTCCCGGCCAATTGTAGCATCATTTGCATCAAAATCAGGGCATTCAGAGCGCCGTTCGCTCAAGTCATGCTGGACGACATGGAAAAAATATTCAATCACGATGTAGGCCATTTTACATTATGATCATGATATTTTCAGCATTTTCAGTTATTCTATAAAAGAAATTCAAACACACTTTGCTCAATGTTTCTCACCTTAATTTAACGTGACATTAAACAGACCTGTATAAAATGAGAAATGCATCCAGTAAACTGCGATATTAAATGATCACATGCAAATAGAAGCAAAGTAACTTCTGCATGTGACATAAGCAGCCCAGCAAAGCGTTTTGGGACTGTCCAATTATCAGAAAAAAAAATATCTAGGATTCTCAGTTTTGTGATTGTTTGTGTTTTGATGAGGCTCAAATTAAAATTACTATGGTTGTGTAGTTTGAAAGCATATCCAGCAGGCCTTCAGGGCATTCTTTTATTTTGTAAATAGTTAATTAAGTATTCATAATTATGGGTTTGTTGTTGCTACTTTATTCTTTCCCAAAGCAGTAATATATATTATTTGCATTCACCCACGTCATTATTTATTAATTTTCATTTACTCTTTTATTTTAATTTTATTTTATTTTGCATGATAGGTTTGTTGCAATTTACAGTGAAGATGATTCACTTTCCTGTATAGTGTTCAGTTTGTCACCTGTTAGCAGCGGTGTGGCATAAATTAATAAATGAAAGCTTAAATCAAGCTGTATTTGACATACTGTATTGATCACATACAATTTGCTGCAGTTGGCAAATGATAATAGACATGACAGACAACTGACACAGTAAAATCTCTCTCTTTCTCTTCCTCTACCTCTCCCTCTCTCTCTCCCTCTCTCTCTCTGTCTCTCTCTCTCCACCATGCTTGACACTATGGAAATCGAAATAGACTCGATGGGGGCCATGCATGACATTGGCTGGTAAACTCCAAGCTCTCCCCTTGCAGATGATGTAGTCCATAGGTGTCAAACTCAGGTCCTGGAGGGCCGCTGTCCTGCATGTTTTCCAAGTCTCCCTGTTGCAACACACCTGATTCAAATGAACAGGTTCAATGTCAGGCTTCCGCAGAGCTTGCTGATGATCTGATCATTTGAATCAGGTCTGTTGGGGGCCATTGAAGGAGCGTTCACGTCGCGGTCCCTGTCAGGTGTTTTTGCACCTGCGAATCCTTCAACTACACTACGCAATCAACAACAGTTGTTCTATTCATTGTTCATATGACCCAACAAGACCTCAGATCTTTCGGCGGTGCCCAAGGTCATAAGCATGGGTCCTTGTTTGTGATATCATCGAACATCGAAGGACTTACTGGCGCCAAACAAGATCTCCTGGCGGACTTATGCATCAAGACTAACTGCAACATCCTCTGCCTCCAAGAGACACATCGTGGACCTTCACGTGCCCGTCCTCACATCTCTGGTATGACCCTCATCGCTGAGAGGCCACATGACCAGTATGGGAGTGCAGTTTTTCTCCGTAGAGGTTTGCATGTAGACAAGGTATTCATTTCTGACAACAACGACATTGAAGTCATTACCATCTGCACAGAGGGAATCTCTGTCACTTCAGTATATAAACCACCCTCCATCATTTTTGACATTCCTCCTGATCCCACCGATGATCGCATCAACGTGGTTATGGGAGACTTTAACAGTCACAGTGTCAACTGGGGTTATGCTGAAAGTAACAACGATGGTGAGCTGGTTGAGAACTGGGCAGAATCCAACCAACTGTCTCTCATCCACGATGCTAAGCTCCCTCCTTCTTTCAACAGTTCCAGATGGAGAAGGGGGTACAATCCAGACCTGATTTTTGCATCAGATGCCATTGCCAATCAGTGCGAGAAGACTGTCCTGGACCCAATTCCACACACCCAACATCGTCCAATAGGTCTCAAGATCAATGCAGTCATCTCTCCTCGCACTGTCCCCTTTAGGCGACGTTTCAATCTGAAGAAAGCCAACTGGGAAGGCTTTGCCGAAGACCTAGACTCTGCCATTGTGGATCTTCCAGCCACTCCAAGTAACTATGACGCCTTTATAGAATCAGTCAAGTCGTCTTCACGTCGCAACATCCCTCGTGGTTGCCGTACAAATTACATCCAAGGCCTGACAGATGACTCTAAGGTGTTATATGATGAATACATCTCGCATTTTGACAACGACCCCTTTAGTGTTGACGCCATCGAGCGTGGAGAAACACTAGCAAATTCCATCACAGAAGAAAGACGGAAGAAGTGGCAAGAGCTAATTGAATCAACCGATATGACCCATAGTAGTAGGAAAGCCTGGAAGACTATCCGTATCCTGGGAAATGACAACACCAAGTCACAGCCAAGGCCGCAAGTCACCGCAGACCAGGTCGCCCACCAACTCCTGCTGAATAGTCGGGGTAATCCTCAACAACGTACTCAAAGGGCCAAACTTCCTCAAGTGTCTGATGCGCTCTCAGATGACTCTCCAGGTTTCACAAGGCCTTTCACCATGGACGAACTAGAATCTGCAATGAAGTCCATGAAGAACAACAAAGCTGCGGGTCTTGATGATATCCTTGTGGAGTAGATCAATCACTTTGGATCAGGCACACGCAGATGGTTTCTCAGTCTGGTGAATGAATGTGTCGCCTCCAACAAGATCCCAAGGATGTGGAAAAAATCAAGTCATTGCCCTACTGAAACCTGGGAAAAATCCTGCCATCCCAAAGAGCTACAGACCAATATCGTTGCTCTGCCACATGTACAAGCTGTTCGAACGTCTCCTTATGAATCGCATTGCTCCCTTTGTTGATAACTTCCTTATTCCAGAGCAAGCAGGCTTCAGACCTGGGAAGTCATGCACAGGCCAACTGCTGAATTTAACCCAATTCATCGAGGATGGTTTTGAGAAGAAGAAAATCACAGGTACTGCATTCGTTGATCTATCTGCAGCGTACGACACAGTCAACCACCGCATACTAACCAGGAAACTGTATGAGATGATGTCAGATGTCAGGCTCACCCAGCTGATCTGCAATATGCTATCAAGTCGCAGATTCTTTGTAGACCTCAATGGTAGTCGCAGTAGATGGAGGACACAGAAGAACGGACTCCCTCAAGGTAGTGTGCTCGCCCCCCTGTTGTTCAACATCTACACTAACGATCAACCTACCCAACCAGACACAAGACGTTTCCTCTACGCGGATGATTTGTGTATTGCCTCCCAGAAGAGTACCTTTGAAGCAGTTGAAGTCTCCCTTTCGAATGCACTGGACCTGCTCATCCCTTACTATTCTATTAACCACCTAAGGGCAAACCCGGGCAAAACACAAATTTGTGCGTTTCATCTAAAAAACAGGGAAGCCGAGCGCAAGCTACAAATTAGCTGGTACGGGAAGAGGCTGCAGCACACCTCATATCCAGTCTACCTAGGGGTGACACTTGACAGGTCTCTCACCTACAAGGAACACATCATAAAGACCAAAGCTAAAGTGGCATCAAGGAACAGCATTCTCAGGAAGCTTACCAACACAAAGTGGGGTGCTGATGCCAGGACAGTACGTACAACAGCGTTGGCTCTTTGCTTCTCTGCAGCGGAGTACGCATCACCGGTCTGGTGCAGATCAGCCCATGCCACCAAGGTTGACACAGTGCTAAACTCTGCTTGCCGTGCTGTGACTGGCTGCTTGAAGCCCACAAAGGTTGATGACCTATACCTACTAAGTGGGATTGCTCCACCAAGCATCCGGAGGACAGTTGCATCCCAGAAAGAAAAGCTGAGACAAGAAACTGACACCCGCCACCAACTCTACAATCATGAGCCAACAACAAAAAGGTTAAAATCAAGGCATAGCTTCCTGCACTCCGTAGAGGCTCTGGACAGAAATCCGGAAAAGCAGCGTGTTGCTCTGTGGACAGAGCATCTTACCCAAGCCCCACACACAGTGTCTTTTACCAGGCCATGCGAATCTCTTCCGTCTGGTGCCAGTGAAGCACGGCCACTCTGGTCTTGCCGTAACCGCCTGAGAACTGGTGTCGGCCGATGCAAAACAAATCTGATAAAGTGGGGGTTTAATGAGACTGGCGACATCTCTTGCCTGTGTGGAGAGGATCAGACCATGCAACACCTCCTTGTCTGCCCACTCCTCCCGACACCTTGCACCCAAGAGGACCTAGCTGATCTCACCCCGATTGCCAGACAATGCATCCAACAATGGACTGGAATCATCTGATGATGCGTAGTGACTCGAGAAAAAAAAAAAAAAAAACCAACGAGGATAAAACAAAAATAATTAT